CGTGAAGCAGTTGGCACGCTGTGACCACTCTTTATACCTCTCACCAGGGTCACGGCCACCCGCCGAACACCCCATCTGCCTTCTGGAGAGCCTGGCCCACTCCTGTGCTTGGGGAGTGGTGGGGTAGGCTGGAGAAACTGCTGGCGTGTTAGGTTAAAATTTGGACTTCTAGCAAGTCGTGCCTCAGAAGCGTGTTTTTTTCAAGCTCCTGTGACAGTAGTCTCTCAAAATTTAAGCTCTTTAGATGAACTTGTTCTCTCGGGGCTGTCTCAAATGTGACAGGCAACAGCAGGCCTGAAGCCTCTGCCCCAGTTTAGCCAGGGCTGCCAAAACCTCCGCTTTAGTGGAGAAGAAGCTACCATGTTTACCTTTAAGCATCTAAAAATCTTTCTAGTCTGGGTCACTAATAGAGCTGATGGCACATTTTAGGTATAATTTTCTTAAATGGATTATAGGTGATAATGGCACTGTTTCAGAATTCCTCATGTGCTTGGCTCAAATCGTAGTGCTCGCAGTAGCCAGTGCCAGAGCATAACCATTGGTGGCTAAAAATCACAGCTTCAGTTCTAGAGCAAGTATTTTATCCTTGGAGTGCAAAAATAACCTTTCAGAAATGAAAGCAGCATGAGCTGAAGAGTCTGAGTCTGCCAGGATCTCTGATTGCTAATGTTTGCCAAGTGGTAGGGAGTGCAGCTGGTCAGTCGGCATTGCTGCGTCTGTTCTGTACATCTCGATGGGCAATGTTCAGGATGCGATGAACTTGCCATTGTATCTTTAGTGTCTGGAGAGAGCTCTGAGCAGAGTCAAGGGAGACAGAAGCTATTCGTGAGGCTTCTCATAACTGATCAAGAATATAGTAATTCTTGCCATAGTTAAAGGCTTTGGGTAGGTAACTGTTAATGAAAAAATCAGTAAGTTTATCCGCTGCTGTCACCTTGCTAATAAGGAGCATCAGTATTAATATTGCCAGAGATCTGTGCTCCATGAACAATATTCCCTTATCTTGATGTAGTTTCTGAGGAAATAAATTTTGGTACTAGGGAAATCCCCACGCACTAGGGTGTTCCATGTTAGACTCTTGAATTACACAGGTCTGTGTTATATACCCAAAAGGTGAAACTTTACTGTAACATCTTATTTTCCCTTCTGTTTCCCCATAGTTGTAAATAGATGGGAAGAGGAGCAGTAGGGGCTGGGATTTCCTCTTCAGCCATGACTGCTCTCTTTTAGTTCTTTAATTTGTCCCAGATGGATAGGTCTCAAAAATGAAGACGGGTGGAGGTACATCTTGAGGAGGAATGCAGGAAGCAGGGACTGAGGACACCTGTGACTGCTGGCTCCTGTGACTTTCTTTCTTTCATTCTTTTTTTTCTTCCACCTGAATCCCCTGTTTGGTGGGTGGTCGCTCATTGCAGCAGCTCCCATAGTGGTATCCTTGCTCTGCTTCCCTTCCATGGCTGTTTCCTCTTCCTGGAAACATACTTTTCCTCTAATCACCATGCTAGGTATCTGTGTGAGCTTCAGGGAACAATCCAGGAAGGTAGATACTTTTCTCCCTTCTCCCTGAGCATCTTCAGCTTGGGAATCAGTGCTTTAGTCAGTGCAGCGTTTGGAGCTAGAAAAATCTTCCACTTAGATGCTGCATTAAATAGATGATGAGAAATAAATGCAGAGTGCATCCATTCAGCTGTTCTCACATTGGGGAACACAGGAATATGAGTACCTGTAAATTTGCAAGCTTTAAAAGGGTTTGAAGATGGTGTTAGATGCTATAAGGCAGAGGAGATACTTGACTTGTGTAGTATTTGTCCATTTGTGTGTTTGGCTTTAATAAAAAATATCCAAGTCATTTGAACTGCAAATATGTCCTCAGTAACATATTTAATGCAGTCGTGAAAATAATGGGATAGAAGCTTTCTCTGTTTGGATCTGCAACATTACTTTCAAAGCAGTTACCAAAACACACTTTCTGACTCAGTGCTTCTGGGATTCGGTGGTCCCTCCACTTGCTGTAGACATTTTTTAAAATTATTATTATTTATTTCTTTATTGTTTAACAGCCTTCTCCATAAACTGAGAGATGCAAAGTGTGTTTTGATTTGAATGTTTGCATGCATGCATTTAGACACTGTGCTTTCTATTGACCTAGAGCAAAAATACTTCTGATTTGCAAGTGAGCAAAAAGAGGTCAGTAAATTGGCACTTTACAGAGTGTTGTCCTTCATTTGCTCTTGTTTTATCTTTATGGTAGCGTTACCAGGTGCTCATATTCATCAGAAACTCCAGCAGACTATGATGCAGAATCCATTAGAGCTGTGGAGCTTGGGGTTATGTTCTGGGTTTGCTTGGGGTTTTTTGTGTGTCCTTCCCCCCCACCCTGTACTTCACTAAATCAGAGCTCAAAACTGTTATTGAAAATAGTTTGTCTTTTTGTGTGGTAGTCTTTTTGGACACTGAGGAAGTCAAAATCGCTGCACTAGCAATTGGCCAGATATTGTCTTGTAATCTATGGAAGCTGACTAAATACATACTCTAGATGCTGTTTTGAGTTTTTTAAATGCTTCTCTTTTTGTTGATAGCTCTGTGCTTCTGCTGTGTTGCGTGCTGAGTGGCAATAGGAGGTGGTTGACTGGAGCAGGCATTTTATTGTTTGCAGTCTGTCGAAATTTGTTTCCACTTGCACATTGAGGCGGGTACATAAGATACCATTTCTGCTTTGAAACCCTTCCACACTGGCAGTGTAGTATATGAAGACCTCTGTTTTAATAGTGACCAACAGAAGTTTGATGGAAATTTTGAGACATAAAAGCTATTGGTGACCAGGTCACTACTTCTTTGCATGGTAAAAGTAGACTCATTCTTTCAATGAGTCTATTGTGATAAGGCTGTGGTGTACTCTGCCCTGTCAAGGATTAAATGGCAAATTCTGAAGAAATAGCCATGAGCCCCACACGAATCAACCTTTATCATTCTTTCTTCCAGCTGAGTAACTTTTTTGTCTGTGGGAGCACCGTCCTGTTATCAGCTTGGATGTTAGGAGGGTTATACATTCACCTGAATTAGGATGGTGTGAGGTTGCCATGGGCATAATCAGTGGTGATTATTAATGCAGAGTTAAAATAAGCTTGCTATTGACAACCTCAAACATGGTTTTATAGTAGCGAGGGAATGTTGTAACCAAGGAGACTGTTTAGTGTACAGTTGTTTTGGAAAGTAAACTGCTGGTGTCAGGACTTCTGACAGACATTTTATTGCATGACTTACGAACTTGCTATGTTTTAAAAAATTGAGTTTATGGTGATGTTAATTTTTTTATTGTGAATGGTCTTCCGGACGTGACACCATCTGTCTTGATGTGAAAGTTTTATGGAAATCTTCTATTTAGCCTCTTAGTTTACTATAACTGATGTTCTCTGCAATTTACTTTAGTCTTTTTTTTTTTCCTTCTGTGGAATCCTGATTAGTCTGCTTTTGACTAATAGAGCTTATAGCTTGCAGATGCACTGTATTTTTGCTTGTGCAGTAGTTTAGTTATTTTTCATATTGCTGTGTAATCTTTGTCATATTACTACTTTTGAAGTGTAAAATTTTTACTGTTACCACTATTTTTTTGTTAAATGTAATTGTCTTTTGAATGGCATTCTTTGGAGTTTGCTGCCACTACCGATGTCACTAAATAATGCAAATGTTTTCAGGATTTGATCCTCAAAAATCAAATTTGAGAAACAGGAAAATAAACAGAAACAAATTGTACTTCTTGTTGTAGTTCAAGCAACTTTATGATGTTCAAGTGTGGAAAAATGATAAACTGGCAACATTTCAACAGATACCATCAGTACTGTTACACTTGATGTATTATTGTTGTGCCCTAGTAGTGTTCAACTATATATTTATGTATATTTTATATTTATAAATTAGGTAGTGTCATTTCCTTAGGTTGACAAACTGTATCTTGTTAATATTACTGTATTCAATACACTTTTTATTTTATTTAAATCTTACTAGGTCTTATCTGTTTCCCCACCACTACCTTAATGCGTGCTAGAGCAACATTAGCCAGTCTGTCAGACTGAGCTTTAACTGACGTTGTCAAGGATAAATCCCTTGAAGAACAATTTGTGCTACAGCAGCTTGATAACAAATAGTCCACATGATCAACTCAACTTCATTAACAATCCCTTTTTTTCAGAATTACAGGGTTTGAGGAATAGGCATAGCTGAAAATAAAAAGAATGTGAGGGTCGTGCAGAAAGTGCTGATGTGTCCTCTGGTTATTGGTGTATTTTTAGAAAACTTGCACACTTGTAGATAACTCAGTGTAGCTCCTTAAAGGCTCACATATAGTGGTAGACTAAACTTCTGCATACTTTCTTCAGTCTAACAAAAATCATTGTTCCACCTTAGTGATTCATCATCTTATCTAGTCTCAGTAAATATTTGTTATGAGTGGTACTGTGGCCGCTGTGGTGTGGTCTGCGTATTATAAGAATTGTTTCTTATTTTGCATGTATTTTGTGTTTACTTTGCTGTCTCATACCGTAGAAGCCAGTTCTTATCAACTTAATATGACATGGTGTCTCTATGTCGAACAGTGTTACTAATATTATCAGAGTTGCTTATTCATGGAGTAATTCTACTGCACGTAATACAATGACTGGTTGATGTCATAGAATCCTAATTGTGTATCTAAGAACGCGTTTTCACTTTGATGATTTTTTCTTCAAACTCAAGACATTGCTTTTCAGAGAAGAAAGATTTAACATTTTAATGGTTTGTTCTGCCACTGACAAAAGTAAATACTCATTACAAAAGAGAAACACTTGTAGTCTCAGTTTAACTTGAAACTTCGACTTTTTAAATTTTTTTAATTGCTTTTTGGTTTAGCTTTTGATATAATTACCCAAAATTGACTTAAGATGAAATCTTACGAAATCTAAACTCTTTAATGGATGTTTTTCCTCAATAGTATTGCCAATGTGATTAATGTGTTATTTTATTTTCTTGCAGTTCTATGTGCTGAAAGAGTGGGCCAGATGACTAAAACATACAATGACATAGATGCTGTTACACGTCTTCTTGAAGAGGCAAGTATTACATCTCTTTAAGGACCCCTACACAGTATGAGAAAGTAGTACAGAGATTAAATGGTACCACTACACTACTGAAGACTATTGGTAGACTCCTCAAATTATGAGGAATAAGTGGTCCAAGTGTATGTAAACCTTATCTCACTGGTAAGGTAAATAAAAGTAAAGGTCATTTGTTTACCTCAGTCAGATGGATTCATTACTTGTGCTTATTTTTCAGTTGAGGCCACTTAACTTGCTCTGGGCCAAATATTTGCCATAATGAATGGAAGGAGGGGGTATCATCTTAAAAAGACACATTTTTACAGTATGTGTTAAAGCTAAGAGTAACATTATTGTTGGATTTAATTTTTTTTTAAATGTAAAAAAAAAAAATTCACCAATAGTCTTGTATTCATAACTATTATCTCAGATAACATCTTTACAGATAAGTGCATAGACACAAAATTAGAAAATGCCTAATGCTTCATTTGTCTCCAAGCCTTTTCTTCTTTGTCCTATGTTTTGTAGGTTGTGGAGTTTTTTGTTTGTTTGTTTTTAAATACCATTATTATGCAAATTATTATTACTGTAATCCTGGGCATTCAAGAAATGGCAAAAGCAATTGTCAAGCTATGATGCTTATTTTCAATAAATATAATGATAAATCTTTTGACTGAAATGGGCTGCTTTGCTGCAGTAAACTTGAGCACTGATTTTTGAAATGATGAAGAATTCATTGGGTGAAAACTGTTACAATTGTATTACTTCATGGCTGAGTGTAATTTAATCCTTCATATTTATTTGCTTGTTTATTGTGATAGCAATGTCAAAAATTGGGTCTGTGTAGCCAAGATGCATTCAGTGGTCTGTTCTTTCTCTAATTCTGCAAGGAAACAAGCATGGGAATGCTTACGTCTCCCACTTATGCTTGATATATCTGATCTCAGTACAAAGTCCTGCATTTTGTGCTTTGAGCTGAACTCGTTTAAAAAACTTTCTGTGAAATGGCAGTCAAAACTGATGTTTTACCTAAAAGACTTGTCCTGGAATAATCCATTAACTTGCGGTAACAATCTGGTACCTGTTTGTGTCCTGTTCCCTTTGTCTTGTTTGGCTGAGATTTACTTGCATTAGTTTCCATGGCTCCTTCCAGTAATGATGCAGCGTTCTGCCAAACTGTTTCCTCCCCTGAGTCCATGTAGCCAAATGTCTGTAGATCCAGAAATCAGGCTCATGGGAGCGATGCCAGGAGGACTTGCTGAGCTACTGTTTTAAAGCTGCTGGTGTGCTACCCTGTTGGGATGATAGCAAAGGAAAAGTGGGGGAACATGTAATACGTGAGCCTTTAATAAAACAAATAATTTCAGTGAGGTTTTTTGTTTTATTTGGCTGTCGTTTCGGATTCCTAGGCAGGTGTGCACTTAAAGCTCCTTTCTCTGTTCTCCAGCTGTTGGTTGTCACAAGAGATTTTATCTGTTCGCAGAAGTTAAGGTATAATTCCTTCTGCTACCTTCACACACACAAGTGAAAAACAACCCCAAAAGCTACCCCTTGTCTGTCCATCTCATTGGCGGCTTCAAATGCCTGTATTACAAAGTTGGCAGGATGAAAGCTGCAGTATTCTGGGGTGTGGAGAGAGACAGGAAGGAGAAGATCTCAAAACAAGATGCATGCAGATATTAGAAAATCTGTGCCTATTGCCCTTAAACTAGGCAAAGTGAGTGACACCAGGTGTGTGGTAGGAATAGGAGCAGATTCCACTGTAAACCTGCTTTCTCATCCCTTTCTAATAATAGTGTAAACATGTCTGGCTTCAGTATTTTCTTACATATTGCTGTAATAAATCCAGTCCTTATCACAGTGAGTAGGAGGCCTGACTTCAAACTGAGATTTACAGCTGAATTGCTAAAGATTGCGTAGGAAGTCCAGGGAGGAGCCTGGAGTTACATTTCCTCAGCTTTGAGGTTAGAAATGTTGCTGCTAGATAGATAGATTTTCCTCTGTAGAGTCAAAGCTGCAGCAGTATATTTTTTCCCACTTCATATTTATGAAGTGAGCCAAATTACTGAACAATAAGTTGGCTTGATACATAAACCAATCTTTTTTTGGATAGCTTTGTGTGACCTATTGTTCTGAAAGACTGTACATAGATTATAGAAAGATGTTATGGCTAGATAATGCCAGTAGCTTTCAATGCAAATGTGAGCCTGACCTTCAGAAACCATTTGGAAAATGCCATTTGTGGATAGAGCAGTGATCAATAATCTGTTTTTTCATTTACCAAGTATTATGTAACTTCCCTTTTTCCCATTATGAAAACCTCTTCATTCACATTCACTCACTTCAAATCCATGTGATCAGGAGCTGTAGGCTTTGTAGGCTGTCATTAATGTATACATGACATAAGGTAGCTTTTAGTCATAAAACCTGGATGGCTGTCAGGGGTTGTAAATAAGCCCCAAGCAGTATTTTGAGTGACAGAGAGAAAACTCAAATGGCATTAAACTAAATGTAAGCAGGGAATTAACCTTAGCGCTATGTTCCCACTGTTTTAAAGATAATAGTAGTAATTGAATAAGAATAAATGAATAAGAAAATGACAAATAGGAGTGCTTAATGAATGGCACAAAGCTTTATACAGTTTGTCATTCACTCACAGGCAATTTACAACCCAAGTTACAATGTATAGTTACATGCCATCAACAGGATAAGCTTTTAGTTTTTATTGGTATGTGTGGTGAACTATCAAGATGGGTTGTTTCCAGTTCTGTGCACATCAAGAAGGGGGAAGAAGGGGGCAAGCATGGCATGAGTGTAACCGCTTAATGTAAATTCGGGCATCTGCAAAAAGGAAATGGATAAGATTTGGTTTTATATGAAAGCACTGATGGGTGGATGTACACAAAGAAGATAGGAGCTGAATTCACTGTGGTAGAAATGGCCTTTTTGCTACTCTACAGTTTTATTTCAAGGTGGAGCAAGTGGAAACTCAATAATGCTTTAGAATGCCCAAGTTCTTTGCTATTTCTACTGTGATTCTTTAAAATTCTTTAAAATGTAACCTCTAAAGCTCTGTGATTGCATTCTGCAGATGGTATAACAAGGGGATGGAACAGTTTCCCTCAGTAGTTTCCCAAACAAAGCTGGACTAGAGAACCAGATCTGGTTTCACTTATGTTGTTTTACATTAGACCTTGAAGTTGTGCTTTCATGTGTATGGTTCAATAACTCTGTATGGGTCAGTTTTTTCTGAATGATGTGAGTGTAACGTAAGCAGGAATAGAAAAAGTAAATTAGCAAAAAAAACCCTAAACAAACAAACCCTCACAGAAGGAAGAAGTCTTTTTGTTGTTCAAGTACTTGTTCCTTCCCTTAAGTGACAATTTTATCCTCCCTCTGATCCTTCGGTGAATAAAAATTTTGAAATCAACTTTCTTTTTTTAATGCTTCACAGAAAGAACGGGACTTAGAATTAGCTGCTCGGATTGGCCAGTCGCTGTTAAAGAAGAATAAATCACTGACAGAAAGAAATGAATTCCTGGAGGAGCAAGTAGAACACATCAGGGAAGAGGTAAGAGTTTTACATCTGACTGCTGTTAGCTGCAGTGATGGGAAGAATTTTCGTTCTAGTTTCTTGGGCATCCTGTCCATAGCAGATCAATCTCTGTTGTAGCAGTTTGGTCAGCCATTTTTATAGCATGTATGCTTCTAGAAATGCAACCAAAAAGGCCATTTGACCTGTTGGCTCAAATTGGGTGATTTGAGGGGGGGGGAAAAAACCTCTCAAGCCATTGAATTTTGCTCTGCCTCAGACTTAATTTTCCTCTGAAACCAACTGCCCTTTTCATTTTGAGTCACTGTGCCCGCTGTTTTCTTCTACTTGTTTTGTCCTTGTTCCGCTGTTTTATGCATCATTCCCCTGTTTTGATTTTTCTCACTAATCACTCTTTTCTTCTCCCTACCTCCCCTTGTGTGCAGCTCGCTCTTCTTCTTTCTCCTGAGTCTTTCTCAGTCCTCACTTAAGCAACTGATGCTTAATTCCGCTTTCCCAAATGCTTTTCTATTCATACCCAAATTGAATTTTGGCTCTTAGAACATAGCATTTAAATGCTACCAGTGCTTACCTTTGCTTCTCAAACTGAGTATGATACAGGTATCGCATGCAAGGTGAATGCTTTTTGTATTTATGAAGGTGTCAGGAGTGCATGCTCATTTGCATTCTGCCTTTTCCAGGCTGGGCCAACTTCATAAACTTGCGTTAAGCTTCCACTGTTCCGGGGGTCAGGATATATTTTAGTCATTGGTAGTTTTTATTCAATGTGTATGAACTTGTCAATGTTAGGAAGCATTGGGTTATGTTGGGAAGCAAACGGTTATAGGCTGAGACTTGCTACCTTCTATCTAGTTTTCCAAGATCTTACAACTTCTGTGATTTTGCTCTATCTCTTTCCAGGAAACTGTGTTAGAATCTGTTGAAGCATGTGTTGGTAGCCTGCTACAGTACATAACGTATGTCTGAGTTTCACTGCAGTAGTAATGTTTTAGACATTTGATGAACACATTGAGAATGTAGTATGATGGCGCATGAGTTTTCTGAATTGATGTGATCTATAAAACATACCTGAAAACTTACTTTCAAGTAACACCTATTGTCTTCCACATACCATTGAATTTTTAATGAAGTATTTATATGGTTGCTATTTCTTACTGTATTCCTGGCAGATTCTTGGTGGCTGTATCTTGGATGGAACTGTACAGGATGCTTTAAAAGAGCTCTTTATCTGTACTTGAATTGTCACTAAACTCTGCTGACTTACCAACTGAGCTGGAGGCAAATGTTGTGTATCCTATTCTGGGACAGTGACCTTGGTTTGTGCATCTTGTCCATATGTAGCTTTGAGCAAGAGAGAGAGAAATCTCACAGCTGTAGGATGAGCAGAACCACAGTGGATTAAAAACTTTTAGAAAGGCTATTAAGAAAACTGCTCAGGAGTGCAAGGAGTTGAAATCTATCTGAGATGGGTTGATGAATAAAGCATGGATGGAGGGATCCCAGTTGTGCGATAAATGAAATTAGCCACCAGAAATCAGCTTCTTTCAGGGTGGCTTGACATGTTGGGCCATTTGTTCTGTTAGTACCCGTCTTTCATATTCTCATTTTGACTCCATCAGAAATGGATGCTTTTGAAACACAGCTCATCAGGCTTTAAAATCATGACCCTTTTGTATGTTGAAAATCTTCCTTTAGTAGGTTTCAGATTTTCCATTAATGCTGAATTTTGAATATTTGAATACAGTGGTAACTAAGGCAACTGTCTCTAAGGGCAAGGGGCAAGAGGAGTGAATTGAAGTGGTACACTTTAAATTCTGTAATTTAGATTCTGCCTAAAATGGTTTGTCTGGAGGAATCTGTGGTTTCTGTTATATATAGACAAGTTTTTTCTGATGTGTGGTATAATGTTAAGGTTTTCTTGGTATATGTGTCAGGCCATGAATAATTTAGCTTTATGTCTCTCTGACCTACCAATCTTGTCCTGCCGAAACCTTCTGAACCATCCCATTAAGTAGCTCAAGTTTTTCTGTGTCCTTGTAACATACCACATTCATAGGTACATACCAAAGTAATGCAGAGCCATGCAAAATGCATTACGTACTTGGGTTTGGCTTTTGAGTTTGTGTTGTCAGGTGCTGCTTAGGTTTAGGAAGAGGCTATGATCATATTCAGTAAAAAGTTATGAAACTGAGACTTTTCCTGTAGTGCACTAAAGAACACAAGGTGAGCGCACCAGAATCACATACTGAAAGCATAAACATTCTGTTGAGAACTTTAATTATGAATTGTTTTGGTTATAGAGAAGGGTGTTTTTCAACAGCAAAAGTGTAGTTCCCAGGCACAGTGTGTCTACCTGCTGTTGTATTGCCATGTTCACTAAGAATGCTGCAGCTCCAACCTCAAGATGTGTCCCTTTTCACTGAGGTGGTGCTACCTACAAATGAGCATTATCTCCTTTGAAATTAGAGCTCGGTATCAAAGCAACTTAAACTGTCACAATGCAAGCTATGTTTGAAATGGAGTAGGTCATTAGGTTTTAGCTTCTCCTAATCTTCCTACATTTCCTAGTTTATGCTTCTTTTTCCTCTTTGGATTTTGTCATGTGTTTCTGAAGCTGAAAAGAAAGCACTTCAAACGATGTCAGTCCTCAATTAACACAACCTCAAACCTGTGGTAACATTTGAGCAATATAGCCCTCTAGTCCTGTTGTTCTGGTTCCAGGTCACATATCAGAGTTTGTGTTTTCGTGATAGCTGGTTTTAAAGTCTTTTCCAGATTTGATTTTTGTTCTGTGTAAAGTAAGAGGAAAGGAAAAGCTGAATTATGATCTGGACTGATGGCTTAAAAAAGGGAACATTGGTTTTCGTCTATTGGAGTAGAAAGTAATGTTGGAAAGATGGAAATGCTCTTTGGCTTGTTACTTGCATGGATGTTATTTACATACAGTGTAACTGTGTCTTCATTTTAAATGAGTAATTCCAACCTGTTAAGCCTTCAGCTGCTGTCAGGAAAACAATCAGCTGGACTCTTGAAAAGGTTGTTCATGATTCAGTAAGGATTGTTCCTTCAAGCTAGGTCCCATGTCTCTAAACTGTTGTGTTCCACGTGAGGATCCTTTTATCTTCTACCTTAAATTATTTGTAAGGTAGGTGCAGCTATTTTATGACCTAGTTCTGAAGCTGAGTGAAGCTTTTAGGGCAAGGGAGTGACTTAGAAGCCTGAACACTTGAGGTCTTGGGAGCAAAGCATGGTGACAGCTCTTGGGCCTTGACACCTGTGGGACATAGGCTCAGTCCCTATTGCTTGATAAAAATATGTTGTGCATTGGTAGCATTGTAGTGTTTAGTCCAAAGGGTCTTTATAAATAACTATTATGTATTGTCACACCCTGCTTTCCACAAAGTGGCTGAACATCTGCCTGCTGAGAGAAAATAGTGAATAAATTCCTTATCTTGCATTTCTTCACAAGCAACTTTACTTATTAAACTGTCTTTATCTCTGCTTATGAGTTTTTCTGGCTTTTGATTCTCTCCTCTACCCTGTGGAGGCTGTGGGGACAGAGTGTGTGCTCTATTCATGGGTGCTTAAATGCTGACCAAGGTCAATACACCACAAAATGCTATGTCAAAGTGTTGTTGAAAGTTACAGCACTGAGGGTTTTTCTCCCATTTTACAGCATGGTTGAGGTTGAAGTCACCTCTGGAGGTCATCTTGTTCAAACCTCCCTGCTTGAGCAGGGCCACCTACAACCTGTTGCCCAGCACCATGTCCAGACAGTGTTTAAATATCTCGAAGGATGGAGACTCCACAGCCTCTCTGGGCAACCAGTGCCAGTGCCTGGTCACTCTCGCTATACAAAAGTTGTTCCTAATGTTCAGGGGGAACCTCCTGTGTTTCAGCTTGTGCCCATTGTTTCTAGTCCTGTTCTCATAAAAGGTCACCCTTTCTGGCTGCTCACCCTCTTTTGGAGAACTGGAATGCTTGGAAATGGCAGTAAAAGTAGTATCCCCAGTCTTTTTATTTAATAGAGAAGAAAGAGTAGCAAAAACTGGAGGTGATCTAGTGCTCACCCACTGACAGTATCTGAATCCTTACTTCTTAAAGAGACTGAGCTATAATGTGCTGAAGGGAAGCACATTGGTTTTTTTGGTCAGTTTTTTAACTCTTCCTGAAATGGGGAAAGTGAACCTCTCAGAATTAATGCATGGATTTTGTTTCATGATTTTCTGAAGTGTGGTTGGTTGAGGTCTATCCCCCTTGCATTTTAGAACCAGTGTCTCAGGAGGACTTGGTGCCTTAGTGTATCTGATTACAAAGAATAGCCTTAGTAAAGTAAATGTCCTTGTTTGCCTAAAATTCTGCATAGCTTAAGTGCTTTATTGCATTGAGTCTGCTTTTTGTTTGATGAGATGCATCTTAAATCTGTTTTATTGATATTCTTTGGAATTTTTTTGCCAGTAATAACTACAAATATAGATATGCCTACAGTACATAAAGCAGAAGCCTAATAAGAACAAATGTGCTCTGCAATTTGTGCATTGCAAAGTGAAAACGGAGGGCCAGGTCCTGCAGTGCAAGTGGAAGAGAAACAGATCTGTCTGATTAGTTATGCTATTTATTGCTATGCAAATAAAATAAAAAACAGTCTTTTGCCATGGAGATCCTAAATTGCAGCTGTGAATTGGTGTGAAGTGCTACTGTGTTATTCGGCTTTTAATCCTTTTCTCAGAGAATCACAATATGATTTAACCAAGGTTAAGTTTGTGGAGTTCACAATTGCAGGGTATCTTAGCCACCCAATTTTGGTGGTTTATTCCTTTTTAATATATGTATGTACTGAGTATGGGACTTTCACATACTACTTTAGTAGACTCATGTTTTTTAGTTGTCAAAAGCCCAAATTACACCCAGAAGCCGACTGCAGCCTCCACTGTTGCAGCAACCTCAGAATGGCAGCCTGCCACTGTGCAGCTCAGTAGGCAATTGTGTCCCAGATGTAACCTTATTACACAACCACTTCAGTAATTTTATCATAAGTCTCTTAGAGAGGAAGAAACGTCTGTATCTGAGGTCTGCAAAGGCTGTATCTAAGCCAGATGGTGACAGTCATCATGTAAAAAGGATAACAGAGTGATGTAGGGCTTGGTTGTGCCACATTAATCTCTTGCAGTACCATTGCAATGTATATGTTTCTGTGGATTTGAGTCTAGACTAGTGCAGTAGTGAATCAGGATTACTCATCTTAAAGAAGATGAAAGAGAAACATATCTAATAGCAGTGAATAATTGCTTTTTTGAACTTCTAAAATAGAATATTTAATGGCTAATTTAAAAGGTACCCTTTTCATTCTTTCTAAGAAATAAAGGAATTGATTCTGGTCTGTTGCAGCCTTGGCCTCTTGATTTAGTCTGAAGATGATGCTTGGAGGATGAATAACTAATTTATAGTGGGTTTACTTAAGAATATGCCTAGAAAAGCATCTTACTGATCTGTAAGCTCTTCTTTTATGCAGGTTTCTCAGTTGCGGCATGAACTCTCCATGAAAGATGAGCTGCTCCAGTTCTATACTAGTGCTGCTGAAGAGAGTGAGCCGGAGTCCGTCTGTTCCACCCCGTAGGTTATCAATCTACAACATTGAACCTTCATCTGGTATTAGGCAGGGGTAGTTTGGGCAATTTGATAGCTTTGAAAATTGGTAAAATGATCCCTGTATTGGCTCAAACTATAAATGAGACTCTGAACTTGGTACATGGCACCAGCTGGAAGGATTTGCACTGGACCAGCTGGCTGTAGTGGTGCCAGGAGAGAGTCAGGACGGAGAAGTACATGAGGAGGCTGCAGACGTGGCTCTGTAACTTTGACAGGAACTGAGTCACAGTGGTGGTGAGACAGACATAGGTCCCACTTACCATACCCCACTACACCACATACCTTTGCACACTGCACTAGAACGTGCTACGTGTGTGACCTTTGTGCTAGGAAGGACCTGAGGGCACTGTGAAAAGTTCTAAGCAGAGGGAAGGAAATAAGAATGGTTTATAGCTTGGGTTTTGGGCATTTAGCTGGCTGAACAGCATCGCAGGCTCTGAGGGGCTATCTGCCCTTGCTTGCAGTTACTGCTGTGTTGTGGTGAAGCATGTGCAACACTAATCAGCAAGCTATTGGGTTGCTCCCTGTGTTAAGTTGGTTTCCTTTCTCATAGCCTTGGCTGAATAACTTTTTCATAGGAAGTGTGGGGAAACAATAAATAAATAAATAATCTTTTAAAAATCACTGCAAATACATTGCTGCCCAAACATACTGGCATGAACAAAGCTGTATTTCATGTGGCTGCGACTGGTTTTGAGACCTCTTTTCACTCTGTTCTCCTTTGAGATTGGTCTTAATACAGGTAAAAATTAATAGAACTGTTGTTTTTTTAATAAGGCTGAAGAGGAATGAATCTTCTTCCTCCGTCCAGAATTACTTTCACTTGGATTCTCTTCAAAAGAAACTCAAGGACCTTGAAGAGGAGAATGTTGTGCTTAGATCTGAGGTGAAATTGCTCCCTTTGTGTTTTGCTTAGCACAGTTGTTCATTTAAATGTCAGAACACAGGTATTGAGAAGGGTGTATTAAGGGTTGAGAGAGTCTAATTAAGAGTATATAATTCCACATGACACATCTCTTTGTAGTTGTTTAGTCACCATCCTTTATCCTTCTAAGTGAAGGAAAGGCTTGAAACATGGAAGCTGTGTGAAGCTACATGCGAAGCAATTTCTTTGCCCGAAGAATGTGCAGGAGCATGGGCAGGTTTTGGAGTCTAGAACAGCACTTAGAAACAGGTTTTAAAGGGCTGGCCTGGTAGATATGTGTGGCTTTAGCTGCAGATGTGAAGTTTGTAGGCTGGCATCGTCTTGTATAAATTCAGTGTTTGTCAAAATAGAAATTGCTTGCCTAAGTTTGGATTACATATCTTCAATTTGTGTTTCAAGTCAGGCTGTTAATATTTTAAGTCGAATGTGTTTTTCTTGCCTTTTCTTTCTGACAATATTCCGTTTGTATCACAGACATTTTCCATAAGTTTATTTACTGTTCCTTGTTTGTCAGAGATAACACTTCGTAATTGAATATCTGATGAATAATTTTATATTAATTTTCAATGCAACATTTGAACTTTGGGAGTATGTTACCCTTTTGCAAACATATAGCAGAAGAAATACTTTTGAGCTAAGAATCAATGTGGGAAAACAGTATCATTACCACTTTCTACTGCAAGCGCAGGGCCTGTTGCACACAGTGTCACATCTTTTGACAAGACATGGTGTAATGGAGCATTAAGAAGTTGTGCAAGGAGGACGAGCAATAGGTGGTTTGAGAATAATGAAGGTAGGGTTAGAATCGAGACAGCCACTGGATCAGGAGCTGATAGGAGAACCCCACGTACTGTGGGGAACTTACTTCCCTTCCAGGGAGATGCAGGGTAGAGCCAAACCTGAAACGTCTGAGCCATGCATCTCTCCATAGATGCAGCCCATGGGTGTCTGTGCATGCACCCCCAGCACTCAGAATAGATTACAGACCTATTGAGATAGTGCCAGACAGAACCAGCTGGGCGCAGCCACGCTCCACTTGGCACTCCTAGAATCAGAGCAGAAAAGACAAATTAGGAAAGGAGTTAGCACCGAGGTTTTATGTGGGATATATAATTACAGTGCCAAATTTCAAATACTATCTGAATGTTTTTTAAATACTTGAGTGCTTAGTTCAGTTATTGAAACCAAGCATTTAATTAGTTTGTGGTAATACCTAGCTTTATTCAGGTGACCAGATCAAGCTCTGTATACTAATGTTCTGTATGTTCAGGGCTAGGGCTTTTTTTTATTTTAAGAGCAAAATAACACAAGTGACACCTAGTGGGCATGTGGTGATAATGATGCAAGTTTCTCCATACAGTCATGTCTCTGCTGAATGTTCACCTGGCCCCTTTTTCCAGAATGCGAGGGAGGGCAGACAAAAACTGTAGTTTGTCACTGTCTTCTTGGAGGAGAGATTAGGAAAGCTTGTCTTTCTGAAGCAGATGGAAATGCAGCAACAGACTGGCAAAGAACAAGTGTGCTAATGTAACACATTTGATGTGGATTTCTTGAATAGGCCTGTCAGCTGAAGACTGAAACAATTACTTACGAAGAGAAAGAACAACAGCTTGTCAATGACTGTGTGAAAGAGCTAAGTATGTCCTTATTTCTTTTCCCTTCTCATTCAAGGTTGTTCAGTTAAAAAAAAAAAAGACAACTGAGTCATATTAGTCAGCCATGTTTTTCTATGGTACTTATTTTCCTTATATAACAATGGTTGTGAGGAGAAAATTTCTGGCTGAAATTTCATAGCAAAAATTTCTGGGTGTAAGTTAAATCTTTATCAGTTGCAAAACAGTTTTGCATAGAAAACGCTACTGCTAAGGGGAAGTACAGCCTCCTTTCCCACATGAACACTTTGTGTTTTTCTGATTTTGTGTCCTACTGCTGTTTTTTGAAAATACTTTGCTGTGTATTGGGGAAGGATTCTGCTGAATCAAGTGATGTTCTGAAAGAACATCTTTCTGCTTACTTTTCTGCTTTTGGGTTTGTAAAGTTAATTGTAATCACTTATTTTAAAGGGGATGCAAACATCCAGATTGCCAATATCTCCGAAGAGTTAGCAAAGAAAACCGAAGATGCCGCCCGGCAGCAGGAAGAAATCACCCATCTTCTCTCTCAGATAGTTGATCTGCAGAAAAAGGCAAAAGCTGTAAGGAATTCAGTTGCAAGACTGCTGTTGTGATTTGCTGCTGTTGTGATTTGCTGCTATTGTAGCTGAAAGACAAGTTACAATCCTCTCTATAGTAGAGCCCAAAGGAAATTTTCCACCATCCTTCTCTGGGTGACCTTGTTTGCTGTTTAATACTTGACTGGAAAGCATCAATTTATCAAGAGATGCGCATATGAGATCTCAAATACAGTAGTTAAATTTATTTTAAATATTAGATGTGAAATTCTGTACTAAACTTAATGACTTTGGTAAAACAAGAATACCAGTACAAGTATTTCAGTGGGCACATACTTACTAGTTTTAGGGTCCTGGAGGTTCAATTAGCAGGGCACAGACTAACGCTGGGTGTTCTTATATTAACATTTTAAAGTGTTGTTTAAATGTTTTTAAACTAACGTGTGGACCAGTATTGCTACAGAGAGAGTCTTGAGAAAAGTTAAAATTTTCCATTTTAACTCTGTAGTATAGGATACAAACATCATCACAGGACAGAACATCGCAGCATTTCTAACTTTTTGGTGTATTTTAGTGTGCGGTTGAAAATGAAGAACTTGTCCAGCATTTGGGAGCAGCTAAAGATGCCCAGAGACAGCTCACAGCAGAGGTGGGTACATTACTTAGTATTACAATAATTTAGTACTAAAGCAATGGCTGTTCACTTTACCATGGGAATTGTAGTCTAAGCTGAAATAGAAGTATTAAATAATTTTGGTTATGTATACGGAATGAAGAAGTGTTTATGTTCCTGGTAGAGTTCAAAACCTTTTCCTTCCTGTTCTCCTTCATCTGGCACACATTTTGAAAAACTGAGGCTTATGAGCTAGGTAGGAACCCCTTTAGAGGTTGACTTCTCCAGACTGGTAGTTTAAACCTATTTTGAATAGTGAAATAACATGGAAAAGCTCATATATACTGTATTTGTTCAGCAAATAAACCGAAGACAGTCTAGGATTGCTACATTCACATGAACAAAATGGATGAAATAAAATTACTTAGTTTAGGAAAAAAATGTGCTAAAGCTTGATCCCCTTGTGATGTGTTTGCATTTGGAATACTTGGTGTTGGAGGTGGGAATGCCCATAGAAACTTTCCCTGCTGATGAGCCTTCTGTATCTGTGGTGCTCCACAGAGACTGAGCTCGTGCTTCTTCATCCCTTACTTGGGAAAGACATTAACAGCATCTCTGTTTCTAAGCCAAGTAGCTTATTGTTGTGAAACTTACAGGAATGTGGTATTTCAGACTTCTGCCCCTTTGACAAACTTGTTTGAAACAGCATATGAGCTCAAAAACCATTAGGGTACACAGACAGAGTGATTACATAAGATAGATTTCCTGAGAAAGTCAAGCTAAATATAAGGCATGGTGTTAGGCTGTTGGAAGTTATACATGTGTATATATATATGTACATGTGTATGTAAGTCTTGGTTTTAAGATGCCTAAGTCCTTTGAAACACTGTGAAATGTCTTGTTCTTTTCCTGTGCTGTTTGCCACTGTGGTCATCGTGGCAGTAATTAGGCACTATACCTGATAAGACTAAAGATATGTTTAGCTCTCTATCTTCTCCTTAACAGTGGCTTCATGTAGCTATGAAGGACAGGAAATGGAGCAAGGAGTTCCTCCCCCTCCAACCCTTCCTGTTACTACTCCATATTATTTATTAGTTTTCAATGATAGTCACTCCTTGGAGTTCTTTTCCTTTAAGAAGAGTGAGATATTCTTTACTACACCATTATCCTTTACCAGTGTGAAAAGAATTTGCAGACTTTTTGTGATGATAGTGCAGCCCATAAGGTCTTGGACTGTTTTCTGTATGTTACAGTTGCGGGAGCTGGAAGACAAGTATGCAGAGTGCATGGAAATGCTTCATGAGGCTCAAGAAGAGCTGAAAAACCTTAGGAACAAGACTATGCCAAATGCCATTTCACGTCGGTACCACTCTCTTGGTCTCTTCCCTATGGTAAGCAGATTTAAGAAAAACTGCACATACCAGAAAACAACCAAACAAAGGAAATACGAGTGTTTGCATCTGTCTTACAGCTTCAGGGATGGAATGCTAGGCTGGACATGAGTGTGGATGCAGTGTTTATTTATATAGTGTTAAAGGGTAACTGAGTGATCAGTTTTGCAGATCTGGTTCTGAAACAGTGGTGCTGTGCAGCTACTTGGTTTTGCTGCACTATCATTTACTACCTGCAGCTGGCTGTGTTTATGCTGTGAAACATGGGTAGCACTAACAGGTTGTTACATAGCTTTGTGTGTCTTTGTTATGCATCTCCTGTACTGTGGTGACTGATTTTCAGTAGAAGCTTCCTGTTTTTATTCAGTATCCTTGGTGATGTAACTTCCTGATAGGATAATGGTTTCCAGACATGACATGCTTCTAGTCACTCATGATATATGTTCTAGTTCTTCAGTATTTGATAGGTTACAGATATATTCTTGTTTTAGGGTCACTGAAAATTCAGTGGTTCATTAAAAGAATATTTTTTGCTAATATGTATTATGGCAACATCAATAATGGTAGTGTCACTGGTGTTATCAACTCTTATTTACCTACTTTCATTGGATTATGACATTGTGCATTTAAAGCAGTGCCCTCAACCAAATGAGAAAAAAAGAGTGGGTAAGAACGTCTGGGTAAATTCAGCGTGTGGCTCTGCTTGCCTGTATATCTCTAGAATAATTGCATTATTTCTGAGGGCAATTACACCAGAGGAGTTTTATTTTGGGTTACATTAATGTAATCAAGCAGCAGAATGTGGCCCTCCTTGTCTTTAGCTGTGTCTCATCTTAACTGCTGAGGAAGAACACAGATTCTATTTGTGCTTGCAAGAAGTAAATGGTCAGCAAAGGCTTAGCTTGCCTTTTTGTGTTCCCTTCTGAAACTGAATGCAGGCCAGTTTAAAGTGCAGACATTTAATAATACAAGTTGTACTTGCACAGATGCGGTTGAAAACTAGCTGTGAAAAGTATGCTTGTGCTGAGATAAGTTTGTGTTTTGTATAAAAATGATTTTCAAATGTTGAATCATGTTACCAAGGATCATTTAGATTTGTGAATGTTTGACACTTATACCCTGCACTTAACTACATTTAGGAAGTAAAACTTACTGACCAGCATTGGAAAATTGTCAGCTTGTCACCTTTAACCCTATGGGGGAAGAATATAATGCTTCATGCTAAGAACCATGTCTTTTTTGTGGGTGAGTGAGTAATGTTGTGAAAGGGAAGAGTGTTTTCTGTTTATTTTAAATTAAAAAACATTAAGCAAAACCTTACAGATGAAAGGTAGTTGTTACTGAGTAGGGAATTTAGCCTGAGAAGTTGGAGCACCTGAATTCTGTTGTTGCCTGTGATGGTTTTTTAGGGTCTTTGACAGATGTTGTGTCCTCAGATGGTAAGTATGTAGCACTATGAAGCTACGCCATAATTTGTCAGTGATTTAGATATATTCATTGGTCTTCCAACTTTCCAGTCAATGTTCATTTTTAAACCTTTTTTTCTGGCATGAATTAATAATTTCATAAAAATAATTATTTTCTGCAATAACAATCTATTAATACTATGATATTTGTTTTTTCTTTTGTGCTTATTTTTAACAGGATTCTTTGGCAGCAGAGATAGAAGGGTCAATGAGGAAAGAACTGCATTTAGATGAACCCGACTCTCCTGACTTGGCGTATGACTGAAAAGAATTAGTTCCTAATTGATTTATTGATTATATCTGAAGTTAATTGTTATTTGATGAGAAGGGAGAAGACAGGAAATAGTTGAGCTAGGAATTTAGAAAGAAGTATTTCTGGCAGACTGTGAATGATAGAGAAAGAAAAAGAAATTGTCTGGTTATTGGGGTGGTTATATGTTCGACTAGAGCTACCAAATGAACATTCCTACATATAGATTTTACCTCGAATTATGAACTATTTGTCCTCATTCGCAAGTGCTGAGAATGAGAAAAGGTTTGTTTTCTTGTGTGTTACCATGCTAGTTTCTTCACTTACATGATTATGAAATGAGTTCAGTTCCTCAGGTTCTCTCCTCAGGTGTTATAACAGAAGTTGTGAGGGTAAGGATTGATCTAATCCGATTTTTACAGGGAGAACATCCATGCAGAAAGGGATTCAGATTGGGTGCTTACAGTGTGATGCACATTACACCTGTGCTAAAGTTCTCTAGAATTAAACAGGAGAGTGGTTTGAAACAAGTTAAGTATTTGTGACAGTCCAAAAGCTATAGATAGGTACAGCTTGGCAGAAGTGGCCTCACTGATACCAGTTGCACGTGTACTCCAGTAGGTTTATCTCACCTATTTGTGCAAAGCATGGACTGGTTAAATTGAAAGCAGTTAATCCCATGTAGAGGATTTCACAAAGAAAGGACAGTCAGAGAAGGTACAATTGCCTGTTCCCAGAAGCCTTCAAAGTATATTTATGAAAACCTTGACACATACTTAACCCTTCTGTGAGCCTGAGCCAAGAATTATAAATGAGGCTTTGATAGAGTGAAACGTTGATTAGAAAAATGTAAGATCAGAAAGATTCGAACATGCTCAAACCCCATAGGATCCTTTTGTCCTTCCAAAGTAATCTAACTTAAGGATAGTATAACTTCTTTAGAATGTCTTTTATATTGCTATGCATGCACCAAAGAAGGATACCTGGTTTTGGTTTCATGGCCTGCCTTAGTTTTATTTATTTGCTCAGCAGTACTAACGGTGACCTCTGTGGGACCGTTTGTTGACAGATGCTCTTAGATTCAGCCTCTTAAAGATAGACAACTGTAGGCTTGGAGCCTACACACATAGGTCACAACTGTTGAGCACTCGTGGACAGAAGGAAAGAAATTTATATGACCTTTAAGTTGGAAGGGATGTGCTGTTCTTGTGTTCAGCCATTGTTGAACTGTAAAACAAAGCATTAATTACATTTTAGGACAAGTTTGTCAAGAAATTTCTGCTGAAGGGTCATCTGATCTTAATCTTGAAGCAGATGAACAATGCTTGTTATGATATCAGGACAATGGTGATAAAGAATGAACTGTAGAAGTAGGTAAAAAATCAGGTTTCCAGCCTTGACAGCCTCTCTCTAGACTCTTGCTCCATTATATTTCTGGTTATTTGGGGTTTTTTTAACAAACTGTTACCTGTTTCTCTGCTCCTTCTTAAGGTAAGAAGGCACTGTGTGATTATTAACTGTTTTTATGTCTTACCAGTCATCAGAAGCGGGTCTTCGAGACGGTGAGGAATGTTAACCAAGTTGTCAAGCAGAGATCCATGACTCCGTCTCCAATGAATATCCCAGGCTCTAACCAGTCCTCTGCTATGAACTCAGTCATGTCGAGCTGTGTCAGCACTCCACGTTCCAGTTTCTATGGGGGAGACATCTCTAACATCGTGATAGACAACAAGACCAATAGCATCATCCTAGAGACAGAATCCTCTGACAATGGGTCAGTACTGTAGCACTGGGCTTTGCTTTTGCTTTGTTTCTGACATGAAGACAAAGTGTTTCTATTTTCCTCTGTCTTACATTGTGCAGTTAACACAGTGACGTGCATCTTCAAAAGTTACTTTATTTTGTGCTTATAGTTCTTGAGCACTCAAGTTTATTTAAAAAGGAAAGCTTTTTGAAAGTACTGTGCATCAGTGTCTGCAGCTTGCACCTGTTCCGAAATGCAGCAGCACCAGGTGATGTTAATCCACCCTTTATCTTTGCAACTGTGGGTCTACACTTAAAACTAATTATATTTTCACTATTTTAATATAGGAGGTTGTGATCTAAATTGCAGCTACAGCTAACTCTTTTGGTCCTAAAAATAAATGAAGTGTGTGTTTGTAAGTTACCTTGTGAACTTGTAAAACTTGAAAACTTGTGAACGAACTCAATCAGAACTTTGCTCTTCTCAGTTCTTGTATCTTTCCTCAGTACAGCTTCACACTATGCTGTGTATACTTTTAAGTAAAAATGACTTAATATCTCTAAACAATGTCTATTTGTCAGCATAATATACTCTTGTGACTCATTATGGTATTCTTGCAGCATTGACCCTGTGAGATGTGGCCTGCTTACCTGAGTTTGTATAACCGTAAGAGATACATGACATCTCTCAGCTCCTTCTAGGTGATAGCTCTTAAGTAAAGCACAGCTTTTCTAACCAGCAGTTTCCAGGCAGGAACTAGGATTCAGAACAGTTTTAGTATGAAAGAAAATGAAAATATTGGTGTTTGCCTTTTGAACTTTCTGTGCAAGAAGCAAATTGTTCCCAGATGTAGTAATTTAAAGGTATTGGCGAATGTCTCAAAACTGTCATGTGGAAGTTTTAAGCACATCTAAGATTATTTTTTTCTCTGCCTCCCCTCTTTTTTCTTGTGTGTGTTTGTGTCCTCTATTATGTTTTAGAAATGAAGATAGGATGAAGAAGCCTGGAACTCCAGGGACTCCAGGCTCCAGTGACCTAGAGACTGCCCTTCGCAGGCTGTCCCTCAGGCGGGAGAATTACCTCTCGGAGCGGAAGTTCTTTGAAGAAGAGCAGGAAAGGAAATTGCGGGAACTGGCAGAAAAGGGCGAACTCCAGAGTGGCTCCGTGACCCCTACAGAGAGCATCATGTCGCTGGGCACTCACTCCAGATTTTCAGAATTCACTGGATATTCAGGAATGTCGATCAGCAGTCGCTCCTACCTGCCAGAAAAGCTTCAGATTGTGAAACCACTAGAAGGTGATAACAAAGGGCCTCGGCCTTTATCTGTTCTTCTTAGTGACTCTTTGTGGTCTCTTATACATCACCAGAAAGCAGGAAATCTTTGCAATACATATTCTTTTTACTTTCGAGACAGTAATCCACGCTGTTGGTTTGAAATCTTCTAACTACCACATTTTTCCTCAAGCCTTAAAAGTGTTAGGAAACAATTCCCACCATGGCAGTAAAATAAATGTTATAGGGCACACGTGCATCAGCAGTGCAGCCTTATGTCTAACATAAATCCCAATGTTTCCGTTTCATACTTAGAAAAGGAAGGTCGTTGAGTTTCTGAAATGTAAGCAATAGGTGTATTAGTTAATCAAATCTCAGTTCTGCAAATCGGTGTCTGGAAACACCTTCACCTACTTCAGATAGTCCAGTTGGTCTAATAGGTCTGTTTTTTGATTAAAAATTACCTCTGGACTTTATTGGCTGTTGGAGTGGCCACACATGAGTCACTATGGCTTGGGTTTTATGTGTGAAATTATGTGGGGTTTTTTGAGTCATATTTCCTCCATATATTGTCTCAGAAGAAGGCAAGATACAGGTAGATGGGCCATAGGCTGAGGGCTAGAGCTTTATTTCAGAATTAAGTGCATTTCTGTAGTCTGCCTAACAAAGGTGTCAGAGCACATGTAGTATAGTCTATGTGACTTTTTTCAGTTTTTTCAGGTAGTTGCTGGAAGTTAAAGTAAATTCCTTCAGTTTTTAAACAAAGTGAAGCTGTTTTCCTATAGCACTTCATAGATGTGCTAGTTACATCATTTAGCTTTGGTTTATCTCTCTCTTCCTTAAACAGAACTCTGGTGTTACATTACATTGTCTATGTGTGTTTTAATTACAGAAGTTCCCTTTTTCATGTTTTTAAAACAACTTATCTATAAGGAGCATTTAGCATGATGCATATTCAGAAGCAAAATAACCCTTCTTGTATCCTGAAGAAAGTGTTGTGCTGTATCTGCGTATTCAAATGAAACTATAGCCATAGCGCACAAGTCCATACTGTTCAGCAGATTGCAGTAGTTTGTTTTCATGACTGCTTTTAAATGGTCGTGAAAATTCTTGTACCACTTAAGGGAAGGGATGATCCAGCTTTGTTTCAGTTACTGGTTGCTACCACTGTAAGAGATTTCTGTCACCATCCCATTATATCTGCTTTTTTCTTCCAATAAACTCTTCAAGTCTTTATCATCTCTCTGTCTGTCTGGGTGATTTTTTTTCCTGAGTTTGTTAATTGTTCTCACTGGGTGATTTTTTTTCCTAAAAAGCATTGCACCTTTTCAATAGTTCTCATGTCTGGTTTTACAACTCATTTGTAGTATGATCATGTCTGCCTGTTTCATGAGTTTAGTGTTTATCTTTTATTAAATACATGTTTATAATTCTTTTCCTCACTTCAGCTTAGTTTCTTTCCCGAGTATTTTTCATGAGATTTAACTTTTTTGTTTTTTAAATTTCATGGACACTTTCATGCTACTGGGGCAAAATAGTCTGCTGTACCTGCAGACTGTTATCAGTAGTTATGCCTTTGGTTTTTATTGCTGTTTTCCTAAGGATGCTCATGCCATAAAACTGGGAAAGAAAATGTCTGTTCTATAATACATTTCAGGTTAGTGGCTATTATTCCTTAAACGCAATCTCTTCAATCCCACAGTAAAATAAAAAGGGTGACTGAAGCACTAGGAAATGAATCTTCTTTTGCACTTCAAAGAAAAACCCAAAACCAAACCAAAAACCCCAACCCAAAACCAAAAAACTGCTTTCTTTCATTCGAAATAGTCTGATTGCTTGATTTGACTTGCTCTAGTCAGTCTGGTGGGTGTGTTGGTTTGGTTTGGTTTTTGTTTTTAAACTGTGCATCTGCAGCTTGTTGTACCATAAGCATGAAAGAGCACTCCCTGTGTCCTCTAGGAAAACTGGAACCTTGGATTGATTTGTTGTGGCAGCAACAAATTGTGATTTTTCCAAGCTTGCTCTGACCCCCATGGTATACATGCTATAATGTAGATATCAGGAATAGAAAAAACAAACTCTAATAATATACTTAATTTTGCTTTTAAATGTCTTCTTAATTCAGGCAGTCCTGCTGTTGCACATCAATTCCCTCATGCCAGCTTTTTCTGATAGCATAATTTACAAAAACTCTCTTGTTAGAAGCCCAGGACTGAATATAGGCCAAGGTGTTGTATTCATCCCTTCAATTTGGCTCAATTTTGTTGTTGTTGTTGTTGTGTTTAATTAAAAGGTAGTTGACAACTGTTGCATTGCTTTCTGCATTAGTGTTAAGTTTCTGTATGGAAAAATTAAAGCTCTCTTTAACACATTTTATGAGATCAAGATTAAAGTAACAGAGGTGGAGAAAAACGTAAATATCCTTCTTTTTCTGATGAAGCTTAGGTCACTTTGATTTCCAGTTTCCAAAAGAAATTAATAATGTGTAATGTTGATAGAAATGTTAAAGCTCAAAATGCAGATATTCTGATGAGTATATTTCCATAGGAAAGATAAAAAATGTTATCAATATATTGCTTGTATTTTGTAGATTTTTTTCTTAGTATAAATTTTGGTGAGCTATAAGGTGAAAAAGATTACATCTTCAGAGGCTTGCATATAGAAGTTAATTAGCAACATGATTTTATGCTTGCATACTGTGCAGAGATAAGTTTTGATTTCTGGTGTTTTTCTGTAACTTGTGAGGGTTTTGTCATGCCGCATTGCTTAAGACTTGACAATATCTGGCACTTCTCCATGTTCTTGAATATTTCTTTTACGTGAAAGCAAAAAACCTTGACCTTTGTGACAAATAAGGAAGAAATACAAGTTATAGGGATGTTTTCATCATTATTTATTTTGGGTTTGTAATTGTTTGTACTTCTTGAGCCTCAAAAGTACCCATCAGTCTGAATCCTTTTTAAAATCCTTTAAAAATAATTTTAAAATAGCGTCATTATCCGAAGTAATCTAGCTGATCAAATTATTCTGAGCTAAAAATTACTCATTTAAAAAAGTGAGATAGACTTAATTTAAATGCTACTCATTGATCTCAGTCATTCTACAGAAGGGCATTTTCCCTGTTCACGTCCTATTTACAGTAAGCTTCCTGTAATGCAATATCTTTATTGTGAAATGATAGTTATTCTCATTCAGTAGGATTTTTCTTGGATGCAAAATAATCTGTATAAGAGCCATCCCTTCCTTAGTTATTACAGTGATTTAGATTTTCACATATACTATGTGATGGATTGAATATTCTTGGTCTTTGAATACTGGTGGGACGTTTGTATGCCAGCTTGTTGACTGAGTCAGTGTTCTGCTTTGGGGAGAGGGGACAGGAACAAGACAACAAAAACTGCTCTGATTTGAGCTGGCAGAGATGAAAATAAAGATGTTTTGTTTGTGTCACAGGACCCAGAATGAATAGTTTTAAGTCGCATGTTACAGCATAGTAATGATTGGTGGACACGCGGATCAACTTAAGCCCTGGCAAGCAGTGTTTAATCACTACTTAAGGAATCAGATAAATCCTTCCTGACTTAAGTGGGCCCATCTCAGTGTATATACCAATCTAACTTGATACATTGCTATTTCTGACTCACTGTCTCCTATTAAATGCTGAATATTGAACGCTTGTCTCTGTAAAATGCACTTCTTTCTTCACTCAAAACATTTTTCTGCCAAGGATGAAGCTACAGGTACAGTAGCATTTAGTTATGCAGTAGCTGAATTCTTGTAGCATAGGGGCTCAGATAGAGGCCATGCAAGTATTTAGACTTGATGTATAGGTCAGAGGTATTTTCTGCTTACATGTGCCTGGAGTTTTTGTGGCTTTCTAATGTATGCTAGAAAGCTGAAATTGCTGTGCAGTCTGTGTGACTACTGTCCTGCTGTTATCCACCAGTAGTAAATTCTGTCAAGTTTTCAGCACCTTTCTTAGTGTGAGCTTAATGTGGGAATATGTGGTGTGTGTTCCTCTTAGAGCTTTCTGTGATGGTGCTCAGATCAACTAAATCAAAGTGTAAATTCTTTCTACTCCTGCTTAATCCTGTGAATTTAGGGGGATGAGAATATTGACAGGGAGGGGATGTGCATGTGCACAGGTGTGCTACATCTTGCCATCAGACTTTGCCTATTGAAGTGCTGATGTGATCGGTTTATTTCTTATAGAACTGGGAATGCTGAAGAGTAGCACGGTAGCATGTGTTCTTAGAGATATTAAAGCCTAGAAATATTAAACCCAGAAACATTGAAGGTTTGGAACTCCCAAACCTTTGATCTTCTGGATAAACGAAGTGAGATTTTCTGCTTTTTAGGTCCTGGATTGACCAGTGATTTATTTCGGTTGTCTTTATGTTTCCGTTTCAAGGTTCTGCCACTTTGCACCACTGGCAGCAGCTGGCTCAGCCTCACCTGGGTGGGATCCTGGACCCGAGGCCCGGGGTTGTCACTAAGGGCTTCAGGACCCTGGACCTGGACCTGGATGAAGTATACTGCCTTAATGACTATGAGGAAGATGAGACAGGTGACATTTCTTACAAGGGCCTAACTACCTCGACGCCAGTTCAGCACACAGAGACCTCAGGTGAGAGGTCACAAGCACAAGTGACTGTTTCAGACAACAAGAATAACCCCCGCCAATCTCAGGCTTTCACAGAGGAGATGCAGGAGTCCACGACTGACGATGATGAGGGGTCTGGTGAGGGAAACTCATTAAGTCCAGTAAAACTGACATCTTTACAGGATTTTGATTACTGGGCCATTCTCGCATCTCTCCAGAACAGCATCCATAGTATTGCTTTGTGTGTAGCACCTGCACGTTAATGCGTGCAGTAGTTAGAACATAACCATTCTAACATTGGCTCAAAAATCCTTTCTTTAACAGTCTTTTAATTTGACTTCTTTTTTTCATAACAGCATCTGTGGTCAATCTTTTATTCTATTTTGATAAGAGAAGGCTGCTAAAAGGAAGTGGTTCATTCACAGACCTTTGTGTGGCACATATGCAACTTGTATGTGTATTGAGTGCACGCTTTTCAGTGTATATAATGTATAGACCATATATATTTTGTGTGATGATATTTTTCTGGCTGTTCATAAGAGGTGATGCCATACTTTAGATTTTGTACTTTGGGGAAAAAACAAAGATGAAACTATGACAAAAGGTGCATCTAAGTTGCCTTTGCTGAAACAAATGGAAGTGCCTTGAAAATGAAGCAGAGAAATTTTGCAAGTTTAATACAGTTACCTCAGATCAAGTTACCTGTTTTTGAATTCTTTTTGATGTAAAGAATTAAGAGGATGTTTTTATACAGTGGATAATGATATTTCCCTCATTCTCTCTCCACCACACTATTAAATTCTATACTTCCTATTTATACCATATTAAGACTTGAACACTTTTAAATGTCGCAGTACTGCATGAGTTTTTAGATACTCTGAACTGACATTTGCAGTCCGTATATTGCACAAGGCTACAGGTTCTCAGACTACAGATGCATTTTCTGTTTGTGCAGTTTTTGTTGTTGATTTGGGGGGCAGGTGTTTTGTTCTGTTTTAATAAGCTGTATAGGAGTGCTAGTCTTCATTAAGATTTGCTACTGGAAAAGAATTGTGTTTAGTTCAAAATTGGAAAACTATCAGAAATCCGTTCTTTTTTCTCCCCAAGATTTCTTGTTTTTACATAGCTACTTTCAATGAGGACACTTCCTTCACCCTTCTTTCTCTGGGATAAATAATAATTTATTATTTGACTGGTATTTGGAAGATTAGATTGTCTCAGGGCTAGACCATACTATTTCTGTTATTTTTGTGAAGTGCAGAGTATCATCAGCTCTCACTGAAAAGGCAGTACAGTGCTTTCAGCTATTGACTGTAAGCTACTTTTTGCAGTCAGTTGTATTAAGATTAAACTTAGTAGAGTCATTTAAGTTGGAAAAGATCCTTAAGATCACAGAGTCCAACAGTTAACCTAACACTGCTAAACCATGTCCCTAAGCACCACATCTACTCGTCTTTTAACTACCTCCGAAGATGGTAACTCAACCACTTCCCTGGGTAGCCTGTTCCAATGCTTGAATGTTCAAATCCTTCAACTTCCCTTTCCATTGGCAAAAATTGTCTTTATTCTAGGAGATATATTGCCCATGAATAGTAATTATATTAACTTTTTTATATTAATATGGAAGTAAATAATGCCTCCACAGGAGCCGTGTACAGTTTTGGGTATTATCCAGTTGTTTATAATTCTAAACAGTCTAAGTAACAACAGCAAGAAAAGAAAAAAAGTAGCCCTGTGCTATGGTTACAAACTGGTAAGAAAGGCTAGCATTTCCCGCCGCTTCTTTTTATTGTTACAATTTGAATACAGGTCACTGTTATTAACAGGTTATTCCCTAGTTTACTGCTGATTCCGCCTGGGAAAACTCTAGTTATCTCAGACAAGGTTTTTAAGCATATTCCCTACCTTATAAACTGGCAAAGTAGATAAAAATCTATGAAATTGTCCAACTAATCTTATTTCATCTTCTGTTGTTTGCTGAGTAATTTTAATACTTTACAGAAATAGAGAAGCTGGTCAAAATTACCAACTTGGATTTGCAGAATGAACAAATGCACTGAAAACTCATAATTTCCTACTCTTTATCCTTCCTTCATATTGCCCAGCTGCTTAGGACTTAGGAGTATCCATGAGTCACCACATCATTATTGGTTGCGTTGCTCAAATGAAGTAAAGATACTGCTGTTTCTCTCTTGTTGCAGCAATGTGTTAGGTGGTATACAAGGAGAAGAGTGGATATTTTCAGAGTAGGCACTTACTAATGTGGCAGTGCTTGTTAGGATCCCCAGTCTGCCCACGGAAGAATGCTTTTTGGGAGCAGAGAGAGATGTGTGCTTAACTTATGAATTTAAATATTATGTATTTAAATATTGTGTAGCCATTACTTCTCTTGGAAAAAAACCCCAACAAACCCTTGGCATTCTTTCTGCCTCTCCTTAGATTTCTCTAAGAAATGTAGCGCAGGTAGGAGTGTGTATGGGCATGCGGTTCCTTAGCGTGCTGTCACAAGCACAAGGTTGCACCTTATTGCTTGCATGATTCCAGGCAGCAACATACAGAATAAGCTCTTGCTAGAGAATGTGGAACTAAGATAAAAAGGGAAGGAGTAGAATATCTTGGGTACAGTCTTCAGTGATACTGTTTTTGCTTGTAATCCAACATGGCTCCATCGTGGAAAGATCTAGTTCAAGAGGTTCGTAAAAGCCAGAAAGTATCTCACTATGGTTGCCATGGGCAGGCCGTAGACCATGCCAGTCTAGAGCTACAGTTCTAGAGAACAAAATGTCTTTGGAAGTTTGCCTACAAGAACCCTTCCCAGCAGGTGTAAGTCACCTTAGTCTTTTGGATAGGTGCCTGCTTCATTTGATATGTATGCTTTTGAGGGTTGTATCGTACTACTTTTTCACTGGAGATGTTCTCTGGCAGAGTACTATGAGGTCCTATTTTTACTGCCATTTTGTGGAGTGTAGAGTGCTGCTCAAGATAGGCCCTAAGAGAAGTCATTTTAACATCCAGGCTCAGGAGAGCAAGCATTGCTGGTAGTACTGAAGATGTCTTCTAGTCAAAATAAATGTATTCGGAACAGACTATCAGCTGTTTCTTGTTGAGTGATGGATAGAGTCAGAAATCATTCATCAAAAATAAGAAAAAGTTGTGATCCTTGAATTTTCCTTTCCCTATGTTGAAACCTGTAGTAGCCATTGATACATAAAATAACTTCCTCACTGAATATGCAGATTACATCCCAATCATGGCACTGAATACTTCAGAATAAATTAATGCACATGTAATTTAGGACCTGCAGTTGATCTGTCAGAGCTACTACTGTGTGTGGGCTCAGTAATTTGATGGAGAATTATAAATTTCAGAATTGCAGGTCAAGCCTATTAACCAGGAATATTTTGAAATATGTACGTCTCTTGAGTAGACTCTCAGCATAATTAGAATGGTAAAGAAGTTACAGGACACAGCACTGTTAATACCATCTAGGACAAGTAATTTTTGCAGCACAAATTTTTAGTAACTTTAATATATTTTTTATTCCTTGAAAGAAAATGTAGTATATTATAAAACTGTACAGAGTCTGTTATGGGACAAAGGATTAATGGTTTGATTTGTTGTTTTGTTGTCTTTTTTTTTTTGTTTTATTTCATTGCCTTTCAGGTTTCCTTTAAAAAACCCCAAAACCCAAGCCATTCAAAGCACTTAATAATGTTGTGAATGTTCTCATTTTGAAGTTGGAAGGGCTACGCTTGATCCAGTGTGTGCTTAATTGCCTGCTAGGTTTGGGTGCATGAACTGGTCTCTCAGTACTCGGGTTTGTTAGTTCCACTGATTTATTGTTTTGAACATTATGGAATCAACCCTCTTGTACATCACATTTAGACCTTAACAATGACATGGAGATCTTTCCAAATAGATGCCTAAAATTATGAAAACACCTAATCAATGTCTTATGTTTGAGTTGTTTTTAGCAGGATTACTATATGTGCTTCTAAGAGGTTACCACTGTACAGAAAAGCAATAAATTTTGTAACTCTTCTTAGAACTAAAGTATTGATGCATATTTAAATATATTTTATTTTCAAATGGCATGAATATTTCACAGTAGTTATTTCTTTAAGAAAAATCTGTCAGCATTTGCTATGAGTCCTGTAAAAATGCTAGAATTTTAATTTGGGTTCCCAGCCTGCATGCGATCATGTTGAAGCCACAGTAAATACGTTGAATTCTTATGTCTGTGCTCCATGGTTAGATAAATATGAGAAGGAGACCTCAGCCAGAAGAAAGCTGGGAAAATGCCATCCAAATAATACCTGCCTTGGGTCAGTTCTTCATCTCTTGCTGTTTCCAAAGGGAAAATAAATTGAAAGTTTGGAAGTGCAGGTATTCAGAAAATAATTTTATCATCAATTGTTTAAGGAATGTAACAGGAGTAACACTCCTGGCATAGATGCATGGATTCTTGGAGGTTTTGAGCATTCCCGGTTAACCATGAAACCAGTGTTTTCTAAAGGACATTCCAGCAGTATTTTTGGAAGGACACTTGAGGACATCTAAACACCTTTAGGAGAGCACCGTGCTCACATTTTATAGCTGTTGTGTTCATCACCCATCTCTATTTTGGTTTAGTAGTTAACCAGCCATCAGCTGCAACATATCCTGTATTCTCCCTGTTCTGTCAGCCAGGAGTTTTCAGTACAGGTGACACTGGATTTTGGAGCTTTCACCTTCTGTCACCTGGAGGGGATGAACTCTGCTGAATTTAGAGAGTATGTGTAGCAGCCGTTGTGTCCTGTGGATACTAAAGTGGTTTTGTGACCTAGTTTTCAGGAATTTCACTTTACCAAAGAATAGAGTTGGTGATGCAGACTGGCAAAAGTGAAGTCCAGAGCTTGTATCCTGAATGACAGCACACTGTCCATACACTGGAGGGAAAAAGTGCCTCTTAATGGTTCTGCGTTGTTATTCTCTTCCAAAGCAGGCAGAGCTTCCCCCCCCCTCTATTCAGCAATAAAATAAACTTCTAGTGCTTTAAAATACCATCTTCTTCTGTCATTCTAAGGATTCACCAACCTGACTGTCATTCCATCCTTGCCTTACCAGGCTGTGCTAAAAAGATACCCAAATTCTACTGCTAGCTCTGCTGAAAGAGCAGGGAACCAGGTTTCCTCCTTTTGATAAAACACACCAAAGAAGTGATAGGCAGAGTGGCTTGCATCAAAGTTGGGCTAAAACTTTACTTTTGTGCCAGTCTGGATCAAGCCGTATTCTGAAGATTTCTGGTTTTTTTAAGTTCATTTTTGCATAAATCTCTATTTGCCAGAATAGGTATGTATATAAAATGTAAAGATTTACTGGCCGCTGTGAACTCTCTGCCTCCTCACTATTCTTGTAGCAATAGCAGAGAGTTCGAGTTTGGAACCAATGGTACAAAAGTTAATGTTGTTTTAGTACAGCTGCCTCTTACAAGTATTCCTCAAACCCAGTTTGTTTTGACGTGTTTTTGTGGATGAGGCAACCCCCTAGTTTACCTGCTGTAACTTTGTACCTTTTTCTGCATGAGCTGGTTGAAAATCCAGATCATGCCATCTTTGGAAGGTTTCCTGAGCAGAAGATCGTGTCCTGAACTCATCTGTTTCACTCATCGCATCTAGCAGAGTGTCCCGTAAGCTCTGAAACTGGATCTGAAACAGCACTGAGCTACCTAAACTCAGCTTTGGGTTTTGAGTGGGGAAGACTTTGTTTTACCAGAAGATGGCGCTCTCTGCAGTTTGACTAGTGCCTGCTTTGCTTTTTTCTTTTTTTCCCCTCTATTTTTTTACTTCCCCCCCCCCCCCCCTTTTTTCTG